CTCCTCTACAGACAGACTTCATCCTCACAGGGCCCACCACCACTCCTCTACAGACAGACTTCATCCTCACAGGGCCCACCACCACTCCTCTACAGACAGACTTCATCCTCACAGGGCCCACCACCACTCCTCTACAGACAGACTTCATCCTCACAGGGCCCACCACCACTCCTCTACAGACAGACTTCATCCTCACAGGGCCCACCACCACTCCTCTACAGACAGACTTCATCCTCACAGGGCCCACCACCACTCCTCTACAGACAGACTTCATCCTCACAGGGCCCACCACCACTCCTCTACAGACAGACTTCATCCTCACAGGGCCCACCACCACTCCTCTACAGACAGACTTCATCCTCACAGGGCCCACCACCACTCCTCTACAGACAGACTTCATCCTCACAGGGCCCACCACCACTCCTCTACAGACAGACTTCATCCTCACAGGGCCCACCACCACTCCTCTACAGACAGACTTCATCCTCACAGGGCCCACCACCACTCCTCTACAGACAGACTTCATCCTCACAGGGCCCACCACCACTCCTCTACAGACAGACTTCATCCTCACAGGGCCCACCACCACTCCTCTACAGACAGACTTCATCCTCACAGGGCCCACCACCACTCCTCTACAGACAGACTTCATCCTCACAGGGCCCACCACCACTCCTCTACAGACAGACTTCATCCTCACAGGGCCCACCACCACTCCTCTACAGACAGACTTCATCCTCACAGGGCCCACCACCACTCCTCTACAGACAGACTTCATCCTCACAGGGCCCACCACCACTCCTCTACAGACAGACTTCATCCTCACAGGGCCCACCACCACTCCTCTACAGACAGACTTCATCCTCACAGGGCCCACCACCACTCCTCTACAGACAGACTTCATCCTCACAGGGCCCACCACCACTCCTCTACAGACAGACTTCATCCTCACAGGGCCCACCACCACTCCTCTACAGACAGACTTCATCCTCACAGGGCCCACCACCACTCCTCTACAGACAGACTTCATCCTCACAGGGCCCACCACCACTCCTCTACAGACAGACTTCATCCTCACAGGGCCCACCACCACTCCTCTACAGACAGACTTCATCCTCACAGGGCCCACCACCACTCCTCTACAGACAGACTTCATCCTCACAGGGCCCACCACCACTCCTCTACAGACAGACTTCATCCTCACAGGGCCCACCACCACTCCTCTACAGACAGACTTCATCCTCACAGGGCCCACCACCACTCCTCTACAGACAGACTTCATCCTCACAGGGCCCACCACCACTCCTCTACAGACAGACTTCATCCTCACAGGGCCCACCACCACTCCTCTACAGACAGACTTCATCCTCACAGGGCCCACCACCACTCCTCTACAGACAGACTTCATCCTCACAGGGCCCACCACCACTCCTCTACAGACAGACTTCATCCTCACAGGGCCCACCACCACTCCTCTACAGACAGACTTCATCCTCACAGGGCCCACCACCACTCCTCTACAGACAGACTTCATCCTCACAGGGCCCACCACCACTCCTCTACAGACAGACTTCATCCTCACAGGGCCCACCACCACTCCTCTACAACCAGACTTCATCTTCACAGGGGCCACCACCACTCCTCTACACCCAGACTTCATCTTCTCAGGACCCACTGACACTCCTCTACAACCAGACTTCACCTTCAGAGGGGCCACCGGCACTCCTCTACAACCAGACTTCATCATCACAGGACCCACCACTCCTCTACAAACAGACCTCATCTTCACAGGGCCCACCACTCCTCTACAACCAGACCTCATCCTTACAGGGGCCACCACCACTCCTCTACACCCAGACTTCATCTTCTCAGGACCCACTGACACTCCTCTACAACCAGACTTCACCTTCACAGGACCCACCACCACTCCTCTACAACCAGACTTCATCATCACAGGACCCACCACTCCTCTACAAACAGACCTCATCTTCACAGGGCCCACCACTCCTCTACAACCAGACCTCATCTTCACAGGGGCCACCACCACTCCTCTACAACCAGACTTCACCTTCACAGGACCCACCACCACTCCTCTACAACCAGACTTCATCTTCTCAGGACCCACTGACACTCCTCTACACCCAGACTTCATCTTCTCAGGACCCACTGACACTCCTCTACAACCAGACTTCATCATCACAGAGCCCACCACCACTCCTCTACAACCAGAATTCATCTTCAGAGGGCCCACCGACACTCCTCTACGACCAGACTTCATCTTCTCAGGGGCCACCGTCACTCCTCTACAGCCAGACTTCATCTTCACAGGTCCCACCACCACTCCTCTACAACCAGACTTCATCCTCACAGGGCCCACCACCACTCCTCTACACCCAGACTTCATCTTCACAGGGCCCACCACCACTCCTCTACACCCAGACTTCATCTTCACAGGGCCCAACACCACTCCTCTACACCCAGACTTCATCTTCTCAGGGCCCACCACCACTCCTCTACACCCAGACTTCATCTTCTCAGGGGCCACCGCCACTCCTCTACAACCAGACTTCATCTCACAGGGGCCACCACCACTCCTCTACAACCAGACTTCATCTTCACAGGGGCCACCACCACTCCTCTACACCCAGACTTCATCTATTCAGGACCCACCGCCACTCCTCTACAACCAGACTTCATCTTCACAGGGCTCACCACCACTCCTCTACAACCAGACTTCATCTTCTCAGGGGCCACCGCCACTCCTCTACAACCAGACCTCATCTTCACAAAGTCCCACAGTCACTCCTCTACAACCAGACTTCATCTTCACAGGGGCCACCACCACTTCTCTACACTCAGACATCATCTTCTCAGGGCCCACCACCACTCCTCTACAACCAGACTTCATCTTCACAGGGGCCACCACCACTCCTCTACACCCAGACTTCATCTTCACAGGGGCCACCACCACTCCTCTACACCCAGACTTCATCTTCTCAGGACCCACTGACACTCCTCTACAACCAGACTTCATCTTCTCAGGGCCCACCACTCCTCTACAATTAACCCTTATCTTTTTGGGATCTATCATCACTCCTCTACAATCTTATTTCCTGTTTCCATTCTCCTTCCCTGAGATCCGGGCTCATTACTGTCTCTGGTCCTGGGAGGAAATATCAGCACTGAGAAGTAAGGAATGGAAGCTTCTGATGAATGGAGCAGATGGGCTGCCAGGGATCTAACTGTTATACAGAACCTCCAGCTTCAAAACTCAAGCCAGATGAAATATTCTGACTTTTTACCGACTTTCCCTATCTGCATGCTTGTACCAGGTCAGTCAATAAGCCAGGCAGATGGCACTCCAGGGGCACAGTTATGACAAGACATGGAGCTATGCTTGAAGGACGATGTTTGTCGCATTGAAGTTACAGAGCTGACATTCCCCATAATGATCACATGCTCAGCGCACATTTCCCAACATTCACCCTACACTCACTTCTGGAGAATCATCGCCAAATTCTGCGAACTCCCGGCCCCGCCCCATTCCTGTTAGAAGTCCCCTCCCTTCACACATGATACAGTGTATCCGTTGCTCATTCCACCTTGTGACGTCAGCGCAGCGCATTCTCCAGCCCGTCATTCATCCCGCCGGCCACACGAACGGCTTTTGTGTCACCCATAAAGTGCAGGGGGGCGGGCCGTACTGCGAGGGCGTGGTTGGGAAGTAGGTGAAGAGCTAAGGGGGAATATAGAGAAGGGGGCGGGTCCCAGGGGACTCAGTAGGATACGTGTGAGAGGTGGGGGAAGAGGGCGTGTCGGTGGGCGGATCGAGGAGAAGTAGGACAGCGGTAGCCCTGGAATGGGGCGCAGTAGGTTGGGGTGACATGTGGTCATGGGGGGACGTGCTGCTGCCGCTGCTCTACTGCGCCGCCCTGCTGGTCACTGTGTCCACCATCAGACACCTCCTGAGACAGAGGAGACCCCGGGGCTTCCCTCCCGGACCCCTCAGACTGCACCCCTTCTCTACATCCAGACATCATCTTCTCAGGGCCCACCACCACTCCTCTACAACCAGACTTCATCTTCACAGGGGCCACCACCACTCCTCTACACCCAGACTTCATCTTCACAGGGGCCACCACCACTCCTCTACACCCAGACTTCATCTTCTCAGGACCCACTGACACTCCTCTACAACCAGACTTCATCTTCTCAGGGCCCACCACTCCTCTACAATTAACCCTTATCTTTTTGGGATCTATCATCACTCCTCTACAATCTTATTTCCTGTTTCCATTCTCCTTCCCTGAGATCCGGGCTCATTACTGTCTCTGGTCCTGGGAGGAAATATCAGCACTGAGAAGTAAGGAATGGAAGCTTCTGATGAATGGAGCAGATGGGCTGCCAGGGATCTAACTGTTATACAGAACCTCCAGCTTCAAAACTCAAGCCAGATGAAATATTCTGACTTTTTACCGACTTTCCCTATCTGCATGCTTGTACCAGGTCAGTCAATAAGCCAGGCAGATGGCACTCCAGGGGCACAGTTATGACAAGACATGGAGCTATGCTTGAAGGACGATGTTTGTCGCATTGAAGTTACAGAGCTGACATTCCCCATAATGATCACATGCTCAGCGCACATTTCCCAACATTCACCCTACACTCACTTCTGGAGAATCATCGCCAAATTCTGCGAACTCCCGGCCCCGCCCCATTCCTGTTAGAAGTCCCCTCCCTTCACACATGATACAGTGTATCCGTTGCTCATTCCACCTTGTGACGTCAGCGCAGCGCATTCTCCAGCCCGTCATTCATCCCGCCGGCCACACGAACGGCTTTTGTGTCACCCATAAAGTGCAGGGGGGCGGGCCGTACTGCGAGGGCGTGGTTGGGAAGTAGGTGAAGAGCTAAGGGGGAATATAGAGAAGGGGGCGGGTCCCAGGGGACTCAGTAGGATACGTGTGAGAGGTGGGGGAAGAGGGCGTGTCGGTGGGCGGATCGAGGAGAAGTAGGACAGCGGTAGCCCTGGAATGGGGCGCAGTAGGTTGGGGTGACATGTGGTCATGGGGGGACGTGCTGCTGCCGCTGCTCTACTGCGCCGCCCTGCTGGTCACTGTGTCCACCATCAGACACCTCCTGAGACAGAGGAGACCCCGGGGCTTCCCTCCCGGACCCCTCAGACTGCCCCTCATAGGGAACATCCTGAGCCTCAACTCCACCGAGCCCCATGTGTACATGACCCGCCTGAGCCACAGCCACGGAGAGGTGAATTATTTATTATTATTTATCATGTGCAAATCTATCAGCAATATTATTAATGTTATTATATACCCCCC